CCCCCCCCCCCCCCCCCCCCCAGGATGTAAGTGGAAATATATCATGCAGGTGTTGTCCCAGGAATGAAGGTGAATAGATTGGGGTGGGGGTGGAGGGGAAGGGTGGAAGAACAGACATATTTGCGTCCATCACCAGTGCTCCAAATCTCCATTTTCACACTTCACTCTTACTCTCTCTTTTACTTGAAAATGAATTGGAATTGAACCTTCAAGATCTTGTGAAGGTTATCTAGGACATATATCTCCCCAACAAATCAGCTTCTGGATGCCACTATTTAAATGGGAGTTGGAAAAGTGTGTGTGTGGGGGGTGGGGGGAGACTGCATATTTATCCCCAGTATTGCTCACCATCCTTTCCTTAGTTAGATACATGAGAGGAAGCTAGGTCTCCATTGCTACATTCATTCTTCTCACTTTAGAAAATGTAAATCCAGTTGAACACTCTCATCCAAGGTTATTTTCTTCCCACGTGGTCCCTTCCCTTTCACATGATGAACTGCTGGATTTGCTTATTTAAGTCAGCTGCCTTTTTTCTGTCTCTCTCACAGCTTAGGGCTGGTTGTTCTTAACCTGGGATGGAGAACCATTATCGAAGATGCTGCGATGTGAGGAAAGAGGCAAATGCAGTAGCAGGGGAGGGGGAGATGTTTCCTCTCTGAGGATTCAGCCAGAAAAGGAGAGGACAAGGCAGTACATTAGTGGTCACTGAGCGGTGACGTGAGAATGAGTCCATATTCTGTTTCAGAGGGGAAGGTGCTGGAGGGTCTGTTTGAGAGGGGCTCCTTTTATGTGACTGAGGAAGGGGAGGGGAGAAAGAGAGAGAGAGAGAGAGAGCTGATAAAGATGCCATTTCTTTAGAGGATGAAACCCTGGCTGGTATTTGTTAAGCGGTTCCTTCCTCTGGCCCACACTGCCTTCTCCCTTTCTTGTATCTGAAGCCCAAGTGCCCTAATTTTATAAGGCTTTGAGCCATAGGACAGCAGGTGGGGTGATGTTCAAAGAATAGACTAGGTGTGCAAACCGCTTTCCATTCCTGTTCTCATTAAAAATAAATAAACAGCTCCAACATCTGTAAGACTGGGAAACCCATTATGGCTTTCTAACCTCTGATGATTTCTTTGACTATAGAAACTGCTCAAAATATGATTTTCAGCTGCCAGGAACCTATTACACCCCTCCTGTCCACTCATATTCTCTCTCACCCACAAACATGCCCACCAATATCATCATTACACATAGGCGATCAAGGACTCTTTATATCTGCAAGTAATTCTTTGTTCGGGTTTTGCTAATATCACTCTTTCAATTAGAGATTGGATCTCAAGGTTTCCTCCTCTTCTCTGCTCCCCACCCCCCATCCCAGCATTAGCAAAGCAGAAAATACAAAAACTGCCAATTCACCAGAAAGAATATTTCTGGAATACTGGAAAATACTGGGATATTTAGGGCACATGGAATGTCTTCCCTTCCTCTCCCCAAAGTACTGCTGCTATTATTATTATTATTGTTATTATTATTATTATTATTATTATTATTATTATTTGACTACTACTACTACTATTATTATTATTATTTCAGATAATAGTTTTCTCAGGTTAGCAGAGGGTGATTAATACTGCAATCATTCCTTTGTAGGCAGTTGCCTTGACCGTGTGCATCTTTCATTCTTCATTTTGATACTTGGTGGTTTTTAAAGGACTTTTGTATTAAAGGATAGACAAAAGGGAAGGGAGAAAGGATACCTGTTTTCTGAAAGGTTTGGTTGCCCATTCTTTCTGAACATTACTGTTATTTAAAGAGAGAATGAAGCAGTTCCTGCCCCCCACCCCCCCAAAAAAAGTATCCATAGGAAGAGAGAGATGGGAAAGTTTGATATCTTGGCAAAAGAGATTCCAGATTATTTCAGAAGAGTCATCTGGATTTTTCAAAGCCCTTATTAAAAGAAAGATGTGCTATCCTGCTTTAATCCACAGATCTTTAGAAAACTCAGATGGTGTGGGGATCAGGACAGCTAGTTGGATTAGCAACACCTTAATGAACTTGAGTTTCCCAAGAGCCTCTAAGGCAAGCCATGGTGTGGAACTGAGAAAGGCTGGTTTATATCCCATGAAAACTTGGCAAGTGTTTTGAAGGAGGAAGATTACTCTTCATTGAATTTCCTCATTGCTTTTTCTCTGACTGCTTTGGACAGTGAAGAGTCATTCATCTACAGTCATCACCAGCAAACACAATCCCTATCCATTGAGTACCCTTGGAGAAGGTTCGGGGTTATCCTATTATGCTCTTCCATAGCATTTCTAAGACTAGGTTAGATGATTCCATGGGGCAAGGATGCCATGTCCATTTGAGGCTTCTGAAGGCCACCCTTGGCCTCTGAGTAGTGCAGCAGGAAACCTCCCATCTGAAACAAAATACATAAGTGGGTCTGAGTAGGCAAAAACTAAATTTAATTTAATTTAAATGCAGACAGAATTGCATTCTACCCATACAATTAATGTGGTTATAGTTGATGTATTAACAGTGTTTCCTTTTGTCACATTTTGGAGAAATTCTGGTAACTGTTTCAAGGTTCTTTGCATAAAGTGGAGAAAGGTAATCTGATCCATAATGTACAGGATGAAAATAATCAGGCAATGAGCATTAAGCCTGCTTGGCTTTCATGCAAAGCCACAAATACTGCATTATATAAAAACATTGGCAACAACAGATACATGGAAGTAGACAGTGATCACTGGAATAGTTCAACACCTCCTATAGGTTTCGGCTGTTTATAAAGAGCTGGAAGAAAAGGATCCCTCTGGGTTCCTATCCTTGGGGAATATAATCTGCATAGAACACCCATTAGGGCTTTTCAACTGCTGTTCCATTTCTCTGGAATAATACTCTCCTGGACATCAGTTCATTCCCAACAGTCTTGAGTTTCCCAAAAGCAATAAAGACCTGGCTTTTTCAGTGAGCCTTTGGGATCTGATGTGTTTGGTTTTGATCCTTTCTGCAGTAGGAATATTCATATGGACTTAATTGTTCATTGATGCCTGGGGGCATTTTGATTAAGTACTTTTGTGTATTGTTTTGATCTTATTACTCCGTTAGGTTTGTACCCTGCTCAGAGTTGGTTGGAGTGGCAAATAGGCCTGGTAAAGTAAATAAATATGTAATAGATGCATTCATATTAAGTCTAAAGGGGATTCAACCCCAACTTTTCATCAAAGATCTTATATCATTTGTTAGCTTCATCAGATCAGTATCATGTTCAGGTGTAGCAAAAGGCAGCAAGGCTAGCACAAGACCTTTCCACTAGACCTGATCTTGCAGCCTAATGCAGAAAACCACATTCAGCTTTGACCTCTTCAGTGCAGTCTAGTAGGCATATGACCTTGGATGGAAATTAAAAGCAGGACTTTTTCTATAAGTGCTTTTCAGCAGCAGCAATCCTGTTGAGCAGCAACAACTTGGTGTCTTAGCTCCAGCGGTGCCAGCTTAGGGCTTGGGGGAAAAATGGTATAGGGCTGGGAATAGTAGTAGAAATCGACATCTTTGTATCAGCAAACAGAGAACCTCAAAGGATGGGATTTGAAACATTGAAGTAAGAAGAGAGTATTTAGGCTCTCTTCCTTATTATACAGTTACTAATAAAAACTGAAGTTTTTTAAAAAAGCTATATTCAGAAGGAAGCATCATTCATTCATTCATAGATTAATTGACAGATTATTTCACTGCAGATTAAGAACTGATAATTGGATTTCAATTAGAAACATCTCTTGTGTTCCATGCTGTTGTCACTGCATGCAATACATCTTTCTGCATCTTCTCAGCTGATTTTCCAGATACTTGCCTACGTTATTTAATTGAGAGAAGCAATAATTTGCTGCTC